CGTCTTAGCAACAAAAGTCACGTGACTGGCGGAGACCGATTGTCATAAACCTTTTTTTTTTTTAAGATTTGTATTAGCATTCCATAGTGAGTTAAGGATAGAAATAGGTAATTTAAGTACTGAAATTACATTATTTATTGAAACCCGAATGTATATCTGGTTGCGTATGCGCAAGTGAGCTGATGGTACGGATTGTGCTTCCAGGAGCCAGGGAGTGACAGAGCGAGCCAACAAGCTAACAGGAGCTAGCATTCTTCTTCTACGTCCCAACTCCAGGGGCTACATGTAGAGCTCCCCCTACAGGTTTGGTGTGGAGACAGTTCATTAAATATCAGCGGCTTATATATGTACATTTCGAGTTTTATAGTGAGGTGTGTGTGTGAGGTTTATAGTCAGCAAAATACGGTGCTGTTTAATACAAGATACATTTTTTTTTTTAGTTCTCTTAAAGTCAAAACTAAATGAAAGTTTTAGATTAAAGTCTTGATTGTAATCCAAGGGAGGTGTTAATTAGATTTATTTGTCATTGTCAAGTGTAAAACAAAAATAAATTTCGTTTTGAACAGCTGTCTGGACAATTTCAATTTTTTTAAATGCAGCCTTGAAAAATTGTAAAAAAAAAAATCTTAATTAAATTTGATAATATTATAATTTTATAATTAAAAAATAAATATTAATTAAAGTCTTAGTTAAGATTTTATCTACTGAGGTTGTTTTAGGTTGTTCTAGATAAATGTGTCCCTATCTTTAGTAGAAAGGTTACATACCACTGAACTTGTTGGAAAAGTAAGTATACCCTTATGACGGTATGAAGGTAAAAAGGCTGATCAATGGCTGTTTCAGTTCCCATATCCAATGATCATGAATAATTTTCAAACTGCTTCGAGACTCAGGGAAACAGAAATTAACCACCTATGATGGTGAAGCAGGCGGAAAGAAGGCGAAATCCTAGAAGTTCAGCATTTTCATATTATAACCTATTTAAAAAAAGGTTTGTTAATAAAGACCGTTTTATTATATATATATATTTTTTTACATTCTGATGAGAGGGAAACTGCTAAGTGAAGTAAGGGTAGTAGGATTTGGACCAAAGTGTTTGGGTTCAAGCAGAAATGTGTTTTTTGTGTGTTTGTCATGGCTGGCATTCCCTGAGCTCCACAATGGTATTACCATACCAACCAGAATCGGTTAAAAAAGAGCTGCGACACTAAGACCAGAACAATAAAACACTCTGACAGCCTTTGCTTCTTCAAGTGATGCTCTGAGAGGAGTTTTTGCTTTGCTTACCACCTTCACCACTTGTTTTTGTTTTTTTTTTACATCATAATGATGTACTCTTACATGATTAATTCCCAACCAGTGAGTTTTGATTTCAGCAGATGACTTTATATTAGCTGCTTGGTTCTGGGGTTGAAAATCATTTTCCATCTGTTTTATTATCTCCAGCTCTTCTGTTGAGAAACAACATGAAGTGATAAATACCAACAGAATGTTATTTAGGTGTGGTTGTAGTTGATTTAACACAGCCTTGTGTCAGCTTATTTTTATGTCTTTTTCTTTTTTGTTTTCTTTTTTTCCAGTAAGTACAACTGAATTAACACAGCTGTTTCAATGTGTTTGTCCTGATGTCCGTTTTATTCTCCCTCCACACCAAGCCAGTTTGGTTATTACTCCTCATGTACTATCTTTGCTCCATAAATATTTATATTGTTTTCCACCTTTCACCCTGCTTTAATGTTTTCAGAGTATGTATTTATTTATTTATTTATTTATTTGTGTTTGTCTAGATGAGTTGTCAGGCTATAGCTCTCTGCGTAGATGTCCTTATGGAGGTATAGTAGTTTATAAACTAAACCTGAGAGATGGCGGCTGCAAAAATCAGTAGATTTTTGAAACGTGTACCACGAGTTCTTCACATGTCTTTTCACGTGATTTTGAGGGGGAAAAAATGTTTTAAGTCGTCTTTGTGAAAGATCTTTTTTTCTGTTAAGGAAAACAAACATTTTTGATATTTATTCTCCTTTCAAATGTATTTTTTTTAACTATCCTTATTTGTACTAGATGCACTATATTGGCAAAACTATTAAGTCACCTTTAAACACTTTTAAATTCAAATTGGACGATATTCTATTTTTACGGTACTTAATAGGTTTTATTGTGGCTTTAATTTGCTCCTTAACTCTGGTGTTGGAAGAAAAGGCCCAGCTTCAAACCTCTGCTCTCATTTATCCCAAAGGTTCCTTCCTCATCAAACTTGCTGATTGGCATTCCTTTCTGCTCTCTTGTGCATTTATGTTGAAACAAGAAAAGTCTATCTGTCTCAGTTGCATGAAATCATTCAAAGTGCCTTTTTAATGCCCACCTACTGTGTGTTTAGAGGTCTGTAGCTGATGACTGCAAAAAGTTTGTAACTTCATCATCTTCAGACCTCGAAATACAGTTTACTGCATAATGGCAGTAATGCTGTTGTTCCCAATTGCTTGCACTTTGTTTTAACTCCACAAACGGTAAGAAAACATTTTAAACAGGTCACATTGCACATTCTTTTCAAAATGTTTGCATGCACAGGTGCTTTATTTTAAATTCACACAGACCTGCAGCTGATTGGAACACTGGATTCATTCATTCTGATGGGGGAGCCAATACTTTTGGCGATGTGGTTTGTTGATAAAAAAACAAAAAAAAAAAAAACATTTTTAAGCTATTTTTTAACATTAAATGTTCTAATTAACAGTTTAAACGTATCATTTGCAGATCAAATTTCAATTTTGTAGAAATGAGAAAAAACACTCAAGATGTCAGCTGGTGTTCATTTGCCAGAGTTTTCCCTTACAGTGAAAAATATGCCACTTCTGGTTTATTGCTTTTGCAAAAACAGACTTTGAAAACTTTTTCCCCCCAACATGTGAGAAGTTTCCAGGGTGAAGAACAATATATTCATGCATTGCTTAACTCTTTTTCTTGCTACGCAGCAGCTTCTTCTTTACTTCGGTTCCTGTAGACACTGTCACCTTAGTCAACAAGCTGCTTGCTCTTAAAGAGGAATTATCAGAATTCAACATTAATCTGTGGAAATCAGCTTTGTTGTTATTCTTTGTGACGTCCTGAAGCTAGTTAATCATTTAAAATCTTTGAAGGTCAAACTGTCCTTTTCAACAAGCATTAGAGAAATAAAAAGATATCAAGGAAGCCATGTGTAAAAATAAATGGAAAAAAAATATTCTGTTTAGATGCACATAAAGCATTTAGACATGCATGCTGTCGTATTTTATTCCTGTAGCTTTTAAGTCTTCTAGCGTCTCTCAAACAGGCTCCTGGTTGCTGTGGCTAATTATTATTTGTAGTGTAACTCATTAACCTTTAATGTACTAAATGTCCTTATGTGTTGAGTGGGACTTTCACCTCACTAATCCCTCATTGTGATGTTCTGTGTAATTTGTTTTACTCTGGTAGGGTTCAGTTCCTCCAGGTAAGCCTCAGGTTTGTTTGAAGTCAGCGTTTCTCACTCTGATGACTTTACAATAGAGAAGTAGGGGTGAATTTAACAAAGGCAGCATTTATTTTCTAATTACCGGTATCTGCCTTTTTTAAAACTCTAAACTGGTGTTTAACCTTTAGCATGACCTTGAAGAGCAAACACCTGCTCTTTTCTGTCAGTGGGTTTCAATATAGGTTAATATCTTAAGTTTGCTGGAATCTGCAGTCGCTTCATCACCATCTACTATACTTGCTTTGGTTCTATGAAGGACACAGACGATGTTATTAATACAGCAACAGTTTGAATTGTGTGATTCAAACTGACTGATTAACCCTTTATAAGGCAAGTTACAGCTTTTGATCTCTTGCCTTATAAATGGAGTGGAATTTGGAAATTAACTGGAAATTAAGTTGGGGGGAAAAAAAGTTAA